GAAATATTTTTCACTGCCTGGGAAAGGAAGAGTTGGTCAGATGGTGTGAAGTTCAACTGTGGGACACACGTTTGGCAGGGTGTGCTACTTCTAACAGACGTTTTGTGCATACTCATATCCTCTCTTCTACATCTTCATCTCAGAATTCCGCAGTGCAGCCAACTAACGTGTCTGACACTACACTCAATTCTGCAGACATTTCACTTTTTAAATGATGCGAGGATCACCTTTCAGCTCAACGGATTCTGAGGAACTAGAAACTATCTCACAGCATACAGACTTCCACTTCTCATACTTATTGCTACAGATACTTGGCTTTTGTTCTAATGTGTTAACACCATGAACTTCTCACCATTTAAGAAAAAAACCTGTCAGAGTGATAGCACCAGAAAGTAAGATGCACAGAACAAATGAACTCACATAGAGAAACAGTGTTTGTTCCCTAGCAACATATATCTGACCAAACATTACACGGAATACTTTTGCCTGCCCTAAAATGTTTGGATTACTTCTGTCTTTCATTCTAAGATAAGCAGTATTTACAGTTCAATGAAAAATTAACTAAATTTGGCAAGATGTAAGGAGTTCAAAAGTTTGTGAAGGTACAGAAGTCATGTTTTATCTGAATTGATTGGACGATCACTTTTTAACCTGGCTACAAAACTAATTGTTCTGGATATTTTGTACTGAAAACTCATGAATCTTTGGACATTAGGTAAGAAATGGAATGGCAAATATGACACAGGAGCTATTGATATGACAACATCCTTAATTAAGAAAGGACATTTCGTAGCCAGGTGTGGTGACTGAAATTAATAACTCCCGTACTCAGGGAGACTAAAGTCAGAAGGAATGGCAAGTATTCCAAGCCTGCCTGGGTTATAGAGTTATTCAAACAATGGAAAACACACACACACACACACACTCACACACACACACACTCACACTCACACACACACTCACACACACACAGTCACACTCATACTCACACACACTAGCACACACACACACACTCACACACACACTCACACACACACACACACACATACACACACATGCACCACGCACGGACACGTACACCCATGCCAATAAAGAATGTTTTGATCCTGAGTAGTGGAGGTGACTAGGATCCTGTTAGCTGTCACTAGCTGATGCTTAACTTACAGCTTAACCATTGTCCCTGTGCTTCTGCCTGCACGGTGTCAGGACTGGACCTTCATTTAAAGAGAAATTCTTCAGCTAGAAGCCAGACAAATCATATGTAAAAGGATGAAACCAGATTCATGAGAATTTAAAAACCGAGAGCTATAAGAGGTTACGTTAAAATAGAAATCTCTCGGGTTTTAATTAATGAAATCAAACAGTGTTAGCAAACTAAAGAAGCTTCTTAAAACTTCTACTTAATCTCTAAAATTAAACCAGGGCAATGACTGAATGCCAATATCAGACCATTTCTTCTTTAAACATCAAAGTACATGGTTTACTTAATCTCTAGGTGACTTCAGGGTGAGAGAAAACCACGACTAGCCCCATCACATCCTCCCGTCGTGCTGAAGCAGGCTGTTCGCTTTCGTTGCTGTTGCTGTCATTGCTTTTATTGATGTATTATGAAGAAAAAGTTAGGAACTTATAGAAATTAAAATCCAATGTTGCCTTTTACGTTTTATATTTTATGTGCGTGCGTGTTGTGCCTGCCTCTGTGCATAAGCATCACGTGTGTGCCTGCAGTCCATGCACATCAGAAGAGGGTACTGGATCCCCTGCAGCTGGGATTACAGAGAACTGTCACACACATGCTGGAAGTCAAGCTCAGGTCTCTGCAAGAACAAGAAGTGCTCTTAACCACTAAACCATTCTCTAAACAAAGCCAACGCATTGAAGACACAGCCATCTAAGCCAACGCATTGAAGACACAGCCATCTAAGCCAACGCATTGAAGACACAGCCATCTAAGCCAACGCATTGAAGACACACACAGTCATCTAAGCAGCAGTCTATCAGAAACTAGACCACTGTGACCCCTGACATAAAAACTTCCTTCATAAAGGGAATAGCTTCAATAATCATTGATTAACTTGCTTATACTTGAAGTTTATATTCAGGAAACAATGTTGAATATGTGTTTATTTTGTGTTGTCTTCTGGCCACTTTATTGCCATTTAAACTTGTTCTCTGACAGTTTCAAACCTGTGCGTACTGCCCGCTTAGCGCTCTCGTCCCCCATCCTCTCCCATGTCCTGCCTGCCTTGCCTCTGTGTCCTCTCCCCCACAAATCACTTTCTCGTGAACGTGTTTGTTTGTTTTGGTTTTCAGTCCAAACATGAATTTGGTACTAACTGTTGTAGTCTTGTGAGGATATAACTGAAGTTTCCACCTTTCCGGAATCTATCAATAACCAATACATAGTTGAAGAGTAAGTAACTTCCCAGTGGTTACAGCACTGAAGAAAATGGCTCTCTTTGGCCCTGTCATCATTAATGACACTAACCCCTCAGGGGGGATAGAGGCCTCAAGGGCCTCTCTGCCATTGATGATGGTTCCAGTCTTGTGCAGGCCTTGTGCGGGTGACCCCAACTGGCAGATAGTGACAGCTGCTATGACGTCACGAGTGAAGGAGTTGCATCTGGGAAATATTCTTTGACTGATCATCTCCCAGCACTCTGGCTCTTAAAATCTTTATGTCCCCTCTTCCATTATGTTGCTGAGCCTTGGAGGGGACATTAAATATTCATTTTAGGCATGAACACTCTGACCTTCTTCTGACCACATATGCCTTTCTGCAAAACAACCACTGACAACTGCAAAAAGAACCTCCTTCAAGGAAAACTCAGAGCAGCAACAATCGACGGCTATAAACACAGGCGTTTAGGAGACCATTTGACAACATAATCATCTAGCAGAACGGTAGTATTAGGTTCTCACCTAGGACCTACAACTTCCCCAGATACATAGAGTGTTGTCCAGGTTCTAGTACCAGGCATGAGTTCCCTCCTATGGGGTAAATCTTAATTCCAATCATAAAGTGGTTGATTACCTCAGTACTCACGCCACTGTTATAATAGAGGTTATAGACTCTCTGGAAAATCATCATTGCAGTTGTTGGATTTAACATTAAGACTATTGATGACTGTTGGCCCCAAACTTTCTCTAGGAAAGCTACCCAGTTCAGCCCCAACTTGAATTCTGTATCCTATGACAAAACTGTGTTCATATATACTTTTGAAAACATATCAATGGCTATCATGAAATTGTAATAGTCTTTGCATGTGCTCATTCACTTACCTGCACTATTGAATGGCAGATTTGTGAACGATGAATGCTACAATTATGAGTTTTGTTGTACACAGCACCAGGAGGTGGAATTATCTGAAGGACATCCAGACAGTAAGTAGAAAACCTAAGGTTCTCCCAGTGTCTAACTCCAGAGCTTAGAGCGTCAAGCTTGCTTCCGTTCACCTCCTCTTTCCGCTCTCCTTTTCTTCTCCCTACTCATCCTTTCTAGTCTTTTCTCTTCCGCTTCATTGCTCTCCTCTCCCTTCTTTCTTCCTCATTCCATGCACATATATGTACGGATACTAAAGCACAAATATTAGACATTCCATATAGATAGGAAAACTGAAGCTCAGTGCAGTTAAGCCGCTTGTACACATGAACAGAATTATAATTAAATGATCTGGGAGTCAGAGGATTTAGCTTCAATCACAGGGCTTTTTAACCACTATTCTCTCTATCATCTGTGAAAAGGGCTTCTAACAAAAACAAGCCATTTCTAGAAATGAAACCTAAACAAAGATACAAGAGTAGAAATATGACATTTATTTTTATTTTCCTTCTCTAGTCCCAATTGTTTTAATGGCCAATTCTCAGAACCAGCAAAGTCTGTGAACATTAATATGACGTTTTGCATTTTTAAAACAGTTAATCATGAATAATATTTTTTCTAGATTCTAGAGTTATATTTGGCTTATTATTTACACAAAAATGAAATACAAAGAGGGTAAATATTCTAGGACTGAGAATGGAAGTAAGGTTGATGACCATTTGGAGAGGGTTTTGAAAAGATTTCACACTTGGAGACAGAAAACTGATTATAATCGTCAATGTCCACACCCAGGGTCATACGCACAGTATGAGGTGCCCACTGAGATGAACACACCACCAATGGCAACAAAGTAATCCCAAGCACTGTCCCCATTATGACACGGCCTGGAACCATTAGCAAACCAGCATCCAGGATTGCATCTCTCAACTCTCATCAAACAGAGCAGCTTCTATTTGCAGTAGATGGTGATTAACACAGACTCGAAATTGGTCAAGGTGCCAAGAATAAGGGACTAGAGAATTCTCAGTCCAAAATAGGCTATCTATATCATGTCCCCTCATTTTCAGGACTCTGGGACCATTGTGAAAGAGGGAACAGAAAGATTACAAGAGCCAGAGGTGTTGGTTGACTATAAAGAAACCTTTTGCATACAGTAAAGCAGTTGCACGTAAGAATGAATAGTGGTTATGAGAGCTTGCTCAAGACCTGCAAGAGTTCAAGCCAGACCAAAGGCAGCATGGAGTGGGAAGTGGAGTGGGAAGGTAGGCACAGAGCTCCACCTCAGGCAGGGAAGACATAGCAATTGAGAGCTGTGAAGAGACGAAGGGTTTGTTTTCTTTAGAAGTGCATCCATTAGTAGATTGGTGGAAGGCCAAATATTGATGAATATATGGGGCAGCACAAATGGGACTCAACAGTTTAAAAAATAGTACACTAAATTGGGGAGGCAGGTGGGTCTGGGAGGAGCTAGAGGCGGGGTTAATATTGTCAAAACACACTGCCAGAAATTCTCAAAGAATTTATATGACACCAGATGCTTCATCAAAGAAGGTATTTGGAAAGCAAAGAAACACCTGAAAAGAATTTCAACATCATTAGCCATAGGGAAAGAAAGATCAAAACATGTGTTGCCATTGCTCCATATTAGGTGGCCAAGTCAAATATTACTGACCGAAATAAAGTCCAGGTGGAGAGGTGGCGCCGCTGTGGCCTGCTGATGGGGGCACAGACTGGAGCTGCCTCTTTGGAGTATGGCTTGAAAGTTGTTTAACAAGTCAGAATGCATTTCCACAGGATTCGTAAGATCCACCATTGGAGATTTACTGCAGACAGCTGCAATCCCATGCACATATATAATCCTCGGTATGAACACCTATCGCAATTCTTTGCACAATTTCTCAAGATGGAATGAGCCAATGAGTCCTTCAGCGGAAGAGTGGTAAGCCACAAGTGCCTTAGGTGTACAGTGGAATGCTGGTTACTAAAGAAAGCAGTAAATAAGCAACACCTTGGTTGAATCTCATCGGCATTTTACTAAGTGGTAAAAGGTTAAAAGTTATAAAACACAGGACTATATTTATATAAAAACCTCAAAAATAAGAAAACTAGTTTGGGGGGAAACTGATCAGACAGAAAGGGAATGGGAAGAGGAGAGGCAGGAAAGCCAGGCTGCAAATGGAAAGCATGAGGACATTTACAGCGGGGGGTGGAGGGTGGTCTGTATACTTTATCTACATCTATACATTTGTAAACTTCATGAGATTTGAATATGTATATGACAACGGGAACTTAACAAGACTATTATTTTCATAAATATGTTTGGTTCTTTGATGCTTTTTTCCAGGCACTTACACAAAAAGTAAATAGGAAGGCAGGGATTGACTGATTAAAAGGGACATTGCTTATCAGGTATTAGGAAGTATTGATATTCACCTGATCAAGAGTTTTTCTGTAAATCAGTTCTTTTATTTGGTGAAGCTTCATTTTCTGGCTTCTCAAAGGTGGGTAGACTGATCTGTAGATATGAAGAGGATGAGGCTCTCACCATCTAGGTGTCCCCGACAAAGAGGTGTGGACAGACGCAGAAACGCCGCTGAGCTTGGGTGTTGACAGAAGAGCAACCAAAGCAGAGTGTGGAAGGGACACTGAGACACAGCTCTGTAGCAAGGTGGTTGTGAGCCAGGTCACACTGGCCCTCTAGGCCACTTCACAGATGTTATGCAAAACCAGGAGAAGCAGAGAGACATATCTGGTTTTGTTCTAAAAATCCTTGTTAGAAATATTGCATAGACAAAAGACCAGTGTGGGGGACGACGCACTGAGGCAGCCAGGCGGAGAGAGCAATGGGATTTAAAAATATGGGGCCATAGAAGAGGCAATAATTTAGCAAATTACAAAGCAAAGTGATATAAAAGATTGAATTAACTAAGTACTTTATCAGAATAAAAATATTAACATGCTAATGTTTTCCCCTTTACATGCTTGTCATTCTATAAAATTCATATATTTTTCTTTTTGACTTTATTATGAAATTATTATATACTTATCTTATTGGTATTATTAGGTTAAAGAGATAATCTATTTTAGATGGAGAGATGCAGCACAGGTTAGGCTCTATATGAAAAAGCCAAGGAAGCGATGGTTGTAACATGAGCTGTGTAGAATAAAGCAGGATTGTTGACATTTTCCGTGCCTTTCACACTGCAATCATGTGAAGATGAATAGTTTTCTAACAAGCAAGATAAACAAGATGCTCCTCACTGCCAAGTCAGGGAGCTTCTCATCTTGAGGAGGACTCTTTGCTCCTGCCTACAGTCATTTCCTCATTTTACACGACAGCGGCTGAGTGGCTCCTTTTCTCTTTTGTAGCAATCTGCCCTTCAGCTAGTTTTGAATTAAACTGCTGTGCTTATTCTGTGAGACTCTTTCTCAGTATTCCAGACTGAATGCATTCACTGTTCATAACCAGCCCAGAGCCTAAAGGCAGCTTTCAAAACACAAATGCTAAATAAAAGGAGATAGAGTGGTGTGCTATCATGGTATCTGGCTAGTCCTCTCTCTTGAGTTGTTGACAAACCTAACTTTATCTTTTCAGGGCCAACACAGGCTATGTAATGAGATCTCTCTCTCTCTCTCTCTCTCCCTTCCTCCCTTCCTCTCTTTCTCTCTCCCTTCCCCCTCTTTCTCATTTATGTTTGTTTTCTTTTCCTTATGAGAAAGAATGCTACCCTTTAGCCAGATTAGCGTCCATCTCATCCTCCTCTTTGGATTTGGAGGTAACCACCATATCAGGCATAAGGAGGCAATAGGGTATCTTTTTTGAATTTATTTGTTTTTGTTGTTTGTTTGTTTGGTTTTCATACAGGGCCTCACTATGTATCCTGGAACTCCTTATGTAAACCATTCAGGCTGGCCTTAAACTTACAAAAAATAACTTTTTCTGCCTCTCAAGAATTGAGGTTGAAGACAGATTCTTAATGTCTGAACCCAAACATTTCACTGATGCTCACTGTCCAACCCAGTAGAACTCAAGATTTAAAACTTTTCCTCAAAGCCTGTCAAAAAAAAAATTCTAAGTAAGGCAATGCATTTGGTAATGAGCTAGACTGAATTATTTCCATGATGTTTGTATGCTTCAGACACAACATATTATACATGATAAAAAAATAAACATGTCTATTGGGCCATCAAGAGGGCTGAGAGGGTAAAGATACCTCCTGCCAAGCCTGATGACCTGATTTCAATTCTCAGGGCCCACAAGGTAGTGAGAACTCCGTCCCACAAATTGTTTTCTGATTTTCACAAGAACGCGAATGCCCTCCTAATTTTTTCCCTTAATCCCATATCTATTACTTTAGAAAAACAGAACTTTAAAAAAAAACAAACTTCTAAACAAAGATGTGAATGACAGCCCTGGTGCCAAGCCATTGTGTGCAGAGGTGAACACGTCTGAAGCCATTGTGTGCAGAGGTGAACACGTCTGAAGCCATTGTGTGCAGAGGTGAGCACGTCTGGTGTGTGTTAGCTACTTCCCTGGATTCATTACCAGCATTTGGAGAAAGGGCTCATGAAAATGTGAGGGAGTGTACGCTGTCACCACAGTTCCCACTTCTCCTGACTGCATTTGGTACGATTCCTGCTAAGCAGAATTATCCTTCAAATATGAAGTTTTGCTATTTAAAATTCTAGAATAAAAATATTTTGCCGGGAGATAGATTGGTCCCTAAAATTTCTACCAATGTCTCTTAGCATTCAGCAGCGCTTCAGTTTACTGTGAACACACAGATAGACACAGTTCCTGCATAGATCATATTTATCAAATTATTTCTTATCATTGTCTCATTGAAATGCAAAATGGTTAGTGCACAGAAAAACCATATAACCAATTACCACAATCTGAGGCTTCCAGCAAGAATGCAGACTGAAATTTGAAGGTCTTGTTTTGAATTAATGTAAAACCAAGAGCCAATAAATACAAGTATAGAAAGGATATTCCAACTGGTTAATTATAAAAAAACTCTATATTCATGGGGAAGGTGTATTTTCCAGATATGAGTATTTTCTCTTTTTTAGCTTATTTACAACTCATTGTTACTGAACTGAAGCATAAGGTCAGAAAAAAAACAAAAGATATAAGGGAAGAAAGAAGATCAGTTCAGATCTGAGTTGAGTGGAAAGGGATTATGGGACTTTCTTGGGGGAAAACCCCAAAAGATCGACTGCCTGGGTGTGGAGAGAAACCTGAGCTAACAATGCAGATCTTGTGAAAACCATGTTAACAATGGAAGAAATGACCACGACTCACTAGGGAGAAGGCCTGGGGGTGGGGGCTAGGACACTGCACAGTGGGACTTCATCTTCGCTGCGTGTCTTGCCATCTGTGTGTGTTTACATCCGGCTACATTGATATTGCAGTTAAGAGGTCTGAATTTATAGTCCGTATAGCTCATAAAACAGAGAGGCAGAAATAATTTCCCAAGGAAAAAAAACACTGTATGCATGTTTCTCTCTACTCCAAATATTTCCCAAGACTCGTCCATCTGGCAAAACACAACTCATGTGCTATTTTTTATTTTTTGATTTAATGTATTTATTTTTGTTTTTTTGAGACAGGGTTTCTCTGTGTCTCTGGAGCCTGTTCTGGAACTAGCTCTTGTAGACCAGGCTCACAGAGATCCGCCTGCTTCTGCCTCCCAAGTGCTGGGATTAAAGGCGTGTGCCACCATCGCCCAGCCATGCTATTTTTTTTTAAGTTGCTGCTGTGAGGCCAAAATCAACCTCTGCCTTTTGTTCCCTCTTCTGAGTACTCATTACGACCGACCCTGTTCTATCCAGTCTCCCTGCTAACCTGGCTTTCTGGAGGACAAGACCATGTTTTCTTCCTCTTTATAGTTATCATTCCCAGTCAATGTCAGTTACAAAACAATTCCTGTTAAAAATTCATTAAAACCAATTTTCCTTCACCATCACGATTGTGATTTTATAAAAGATTTCCTTTATCCATGTGTAAGTGGATATGGACACGTGTGTAGACAGCACCCTTGGAGCTGGAATTCCAAGTGTTTGTGGGCTGCTGTGCACAGGCCCACAGGTAATCCGACTCATGTCCTCCAATAGAGCTGTCAACGTCTTAGCTTCTCCTCTCTCAAGCACCTTAAAAGCGATTCCTCCCTTCGATGCCCCATCCTTCTGATGAAAAGAAAGTTAGCCAGAGAAAGGCAACATTAGACCTGGCAACTTCAAGGTGTCTGGCTTCCATATGCTTTTCTCTGTCAATGTCTTTGCTAAAGATATGTGATTTCTTATTGTTTGGAGATTAACTTCTAGCCTTTTGTTTCTTATTTTAAAACAAATACATTTTCCAGCTTCTTTTGTTTGCCCCTGATGTCCTCATTACAAGCACAGCAGTTCAATTTCCTAACCAATAGTTGCTGTCTATAGAGCATTAAGCAATATCCTTTTACTAAGAGTCCCTGTATGATGTAGATAGCTAATATTGCATCAACTCTGTGTGCCTGAGCACACTATAGAGGAAGAACAATCATCAAATGTGAAACTCGAAGTAAAGAAGAAGTTTATTATAACAGCAACTATCTGTAAAGGAAGATAGTTTTTCCACAATGTATAGCACACACTTTTCTGCTATTAAAGCACAAGCCAGTGAGTCAGTGCATGGTACAAAAAGCAGGCTTGAATTGTAGGACTGTAAATAGATGGAACCCAGAAGATTATTTGTAAGGAAATGGGCAAAAACAATCTTGGCCCCTAGGAAAATGACAGAAAGCTTCAGGAAAGTAGGAAAGAGCAATTGTGTGGCAAATTTATGCACTCTCCCTGAGATTCAGAAGTGACTCGCGTCTTCATGAAAGATGTCTACAGATGAAGTGTAAGTGTGGGGGCACACTAAAATTAATGTCATCCCCAAACTAAATTTACTCCGTTACTCTCTGAGAAAATGAGCATTATTCAGGAAACTCTCTTATTCATTCTTTCCCTAAATAACTTGCATAATTTGGGGGCCTGTACTGTATTTGATACTATGGAGAAATACGGAAAAGACAGGGTCGTTGGTGTCAGTTCTAAAGCAGCTAACAGAGTATATCACTTGGAACAAGCAGCAGCGTTTGGGAACCTCCAGCCCTCCCAGGATGGTAAGGTGTCCTCTGAGGAGCTGTGAGCTGGTGGAACTTGGTCTGGGTAGCTTAGGTTTGGTCAGAGCATAGTCGTCTGCACGCTAACTCATCCTGCCCACCACTCTCACAGCCGCTCACCTGCAAGGCTTCTGAAGTCTGCACACTGAAGTCCTTGGCTCAGACCTCAGCCTGACTCTCAGCTTTCCCCCCAGTCTGGCTCAGTGCACTCCAGGACATGCAGGTGCCATGCCTGGCAGATGAATCACAGATCATAGGACAAAGCCATGCTTCTCTCTGTCTTATCTACAGTCTACCACACTAAGGGATCCCGCTGTCTCACACTTAGACAACACAAGACCCTGCTCTCTGGCGCACGCTGTCTTCCATCAGCACTTCAGCCCAAGCTGATTAGAAGTCTTCTCTCTGCTGAAAGGAAAGTTTCATGAGGGTGGGACCATACCCTCTTCCTCTTTTGTATTTACATACACAGGTAGTTCCTGCCCAGTTAACCCCAGAGACTGAAAGGCCACAATTTTCCACCTTTTTTGACTACTTGGTATTCTTCACAAAATTCTATGATCGCAGTCTTGGTAGGCCAGTTTCTAAAGTTTTAAAGAGAGAAATTAAGAAATTCAGAAAATCCTCTTGAATAGGTCTGGCTTTCAAGACGTGTCTGTGTTGCCTCTATAACCGCCCTGCCGTCCCTTTGTGCTGGAACTCTCTCCATGCTCCCTAGATTCCCAATCATGCAATCAAACAGCCCTTCTCACGGAAATGCCCAAAATACATGCTCATTCCATTTGTCAAGGTGTTATGTCAATTATACCTCGTCTCTCTGAACGGTACTCTTCATCCAACAGGAAAAATCCAGATGAGATTCCTCTCATTTGTGAAGTTTTCCTCCAAATATCTGTGTTACTGGATTTCTGAACTCAAAACGCCCTTACTTTCCATTAGTTTCCAAGTTCACGTCTTCTTTCTGGGTAGCTGAAGCTACATTCCTTAGTTTTCCAATGTCCTAAAAACATGTTTACTTTTAATTATTAAATAGTTATATTAGATTTTTTAAAATGTGAGTTCATGAAAGTTTTCAGTGAATTTCCCTAGCATTCAAATGCCTCCCTTTGAGCTTCCCTGTGTTTATTTTCCATATGAACTCTTGAGTTCACAATGCTGATTTTAACACAAATATTTACATTCCAGGATGCTGGTTCTACCATTAGTTCAAACCATGCTCACCCCCTCATGTGGAGCACTGCCTTGTGTTGTCTACAGTGTTAAATTAACTTTGACTTTCTGGTAGGTTTGATTATATCCTCTATTGGCTTTGGAACTGCCAGACAAGAATAGTTTTCTTGTTTTCTCTCGGTTCCTTTTTGTAGTTGATTCTACCCTAGCTGTTTGTAAAACTTTTGATGTCTGGATACATCCACCAAAGGAAACGTGTTACAACTGGGATTAAATACTACAAGTTGTTGAGAAGGACAGACCAAAAATCCATCCACATGATTAGATTAGTCAAAAATAGCAGACACAGTGTTGAGTATTAGTACTAGTCATGCTGGTGGGAAAGGACACGAGAATGTCAAGGAGACAGAGCTCGCTTTAATTTCTGTGCATCTGCTCTATCAAATCACCAGGATCAGCAACTTATCATTCTGCGGTTACTCAGTTCTGAGACTGTAAATGTCGAGAAATACCAGAAATACCTTGGGATCCACGATTGTTGTGTGGTTTCATACCTAAATGAGTCAGCCTGCCAAGAACCCTCAGACTATCAGTTCAGTCTAGACATTCTAATCTTGGTGACTGATAACTGGCCCTGGTATAAGTTAGTGCATCATTAGAAAGAGAAGTGTGGGTGGGAGATGGTCCTATGCAGATTCATACATTAGAAACGCAAACTCGCGAAATCTTGACGAGTCATTTCCTTTGCTCAACCTTTCCATTCCCATCCTTTTTAATGCAATTTGTATCAATAACTTGTTCATGAGTTTAATCTCACATTTCTAGACGAATCTATTCCTGTCCCACTGGTATTTCCAGCATGTGCCAGGAAACGACTTTGTAGTCTCAGGAAACCCTATTGAGTGGACACTGACATGAAGGAACTCAGGTGAGAGCCGTCTCCGGGGAACCTTTGGGTCCTTTCACTGGCAGTTTCCTCCCTCAGCCTCTCTGCTGTTTCTTGAACTTCCGTGTATTTGATGCTTTGTTCTCACAACGTTGTCCAGCACACAGGGTGGCAGATTATGAATGACTGAGTAATCGGAGTAAGTTTGACCGTTACCAGCCTTTTGATTTCGAGGAAAATCAAATACAGCTGCAAGTGTAGATTAGAGGAAGAGGACTGTCCATCAGTTTAGGATGGACAGAAGGGATAGTGATGCTCACAGCAACTACGATGGGAAGAAAACCATACAGTCCAGTCTGAATTTTATCTCATGCTCTTCATCTGGGCCCCTGTCCAGATGGCTAGGAGGTTTTAAGACCTTGGATGAACCACTTGAATACACCATGGATTTAAGGCATCACTCATCAGTATTTTGATAAGAAGTATATAGAAGACATACCTTGTCAAAGATTAAAGACGTTTTTCCTCCTCGGTAAGAAAATAAGGACAGGGAATCCTTTAAGAAGCATCAAGGAAAGAAAATCTTAGAAGGGGACACACAGGGTGGAAAGCTTCTATTTGCCCAGAGAGCAGATCCTGAGATCTTCTGGGCTTTGAGAATTGAAGAGCCAAGCTTCCCAATGCTTTTCTAAACCCACATCAGCACTGCGGTTCAGCTCACATGCTCGTTAAAGTTCTTCCTTTACTGCTTGGGTTTTTGCTCTGGCCCTTTTCCTGGAAAGATCAGAGGTCCCCATCATCACTCAATAAACTGATAACGACCAGAACTCTTCTTCAGTGCTGGAGCTTATGTTATTTCAGATTCTTGTAGGCTCATAAGGTGTTTGCCCTACCAGAGACATTTCTTGCTTATTCATACCAAGTGTGATGTACTGTGTCCTGGTTGGTGTTTTTGTCAACTTCACACAAGCTTGTTTTTTGGGAAGGAAATACACAATTGAAAAAATGATTTCATCAGGTTGCCTGTAGGTATAATCTATGGAGCATTTTCTTGATTAATGATTGGTATGGGAGAACCCATCTCACTATAGGCATTGCCAATTCTGGTCAGGTGGTCCTAGATAGTATAAAAGAGCAGGCTGAGGAAGCCATGAGGAACAACCCAGTAAACACTGATCCTCTGTTTCTTCTGCTCACACATTGCCTCCAGATTCTTTCCCTGAGTTCCTGCCCTGACTTCAGTTCCTGCTGAAATGTTACCCAAGAGTCCAAAGCAGAAATTAACCCTTTTTTCTTCAAGCTGATTTTTGTTCCAGTGTTTTGTACCAGCTAACCAAGGCATCTGGGAATCCACTTATGACAGAGAACAAAGTCCTCGTCATACCCGGTGAAGGCCAGGCTCCAAGTACAGCTTTATCCTTGTATATCTTCATAGAGCTAACCCACCAGAGGATCTCATTGGTAAGAAGGATGCATTATACAGGGTAGATGTGGTAAAAGCAAGCACATCTTTCCTAGACTGAGTTTAGGGGAAGTTCTTACATGTTTTCACCATTAAAAATGTCATCAACTGTGATCTTCTATACAGCTTTGCTGTATTGGTATATTCTAGTTCTGTATCTGATACACTGAAGGTTTTTATCATGAGAGACTGTTAAATGTTACAAATACTTTGACTGTATCTGCAGAGATTATCATACATCTTCATTTTCTTAATGTGACATACTGAATCTGTAATTTATCTTTAATGTGTTCTTCTCTCATATAACACATCCAGACCAAAACTTTCCCTCCATCCACTCCTCTCAGTCCCCCCACGTCCCTTCTCACTCACATCACTATTTATCCATTTCCCTTCATTAAAAAGCAGGCTTCCCCAGTGAAACATATCATAGTGATATAATATCATAGTGACAGCATAGCAAGATCAATAAGACTAGACACAAATCTTCACTCACATCAAGGCTGGACAAGGCAATGCAGTAGGAGGAAAGGGTCCCAAGAGTAGGCAAAAGAGTCAGCAATGCCCTCACTCTCAGCGTTAGGAGTCCCACAAAAAAAACCTAAGCTAAACAAACACAGCACAGAAGCAAAAGACCTTGTGCCGATTCATGCAAGCTCCACAAGGAACGTTTCTGTCTCTGTGAGCCTCTATGAATCCTACTCAGTTGATTGGCTCCTACAATTCTTCCTTCCCTTCTTCTGCATGATTCTCCAAGTTCTGCCTAATGCTTTGTTGTGTATAGACAGCAAACTTCCGTCTACAGTTGTGGGTTTCGGCGTTGCTCCCATCAGTTGCTGGAGGAAGACTCCCTGATTCTGAGGTTGACTGGGTGAGGCACTAATCTATGAGTATAGTCGACTATTATTAGGAATCATTACATTAACTGGTTTTGTTTTGCCTTTTTGGTCAGCATGTTTGGTTCTACTGTGGGCTGTTAACAGGAGGAGCGGCCTGCTTGTCATCCTGGCCACCTGGCTGGCTTAGCCCCCAAAATAACCACATAGAAATTGTATTAATTAAATCACTGCCTGGCCCATTATCTCTAGCCTCTTATTGGCTAACTATCACACCTTGATTTAACCCATTTCTAATAATCTGCATATCACCACGTAGCAGTGGCTTACAACCATATCTGATCTGTCGGCTCCATGGTGGCTCTCTCTCACTTTGCTTTCTTCCTCCCAGAATTCAGTTCTGTCTTCTCCGCCTACCTAAGTTCTGCCCTATCAGACCAAGCAGTTTCTTTATTGATTAACCAATGAAAGCAACACATAAATAGAAGAAACTCCTACACCATTTCCCCCCTTTCTGTTTAAAAAGGAAAGAAAGGCTTTCACTTTAACATAGTAAAATTACATATAATAAAACAGGTATCAAGCAAGAATTACAGTTACAATATTTGTATCTATTTTATTTTTATATCATAGCTAAGAAAAACTATAACTTTAAATTCTTCAACTCCATCAAAGACTCCAGAAGGATATAATATTACCTAAGTAAATAGAAAGTTCATTGTAAGCAACTTCCAAAACTCTAGAAATGACAGAGACATCTTGCTGCTTGGACAGTCACCCAAAGTTCTTCTGTACCATTGGGGCATCCATCTTCAGCCCACAGGCCCATAGTATCCAGCAGACGTTTTTATGAAGCAGGAAAATTCAAAGACAGTTTAGTTACTTTTTTCTGTATCCTGCAGAATGTCTCACAGACTCTTTTATGAATCAGGAACCCCAAAGGATCATCTCACCTTTAGGCAAGTTTAACAGTCCTCTCTCTGCAGATTCTTCATGTCCAGTTTATGCAACAATCCAGGCAAGAGCAGTTTCTTGCCCAAATGGCTATCAAACTCCATAAGGAGCCTCTTCGATGCCCATCTTCCTTTTAAAGTAACTGGTGCTGCCACGAGCAGATGTCTCATTGTCATGAAAAACACTAAGTTATTAAAACATTAAATGCCATATTCTGTAGTCTTTGAAAGATATGAAGAACGCCTATCTAACTGAAATATATCTCTATATATCTAGAAAATCTAACTAACACAACTACAAGCTTGACTATTATCAATGATTATCCACTAACAATCCATATTTCCTAATTATACATCACATTTTTAAATGAACTGCACAATTACAATACCTTAATCAAGAGCAGAAATATACATATAACAAGATTGAGCTTAAATTTATATCAATAAAGCCAAATCCATACTAATGCAAATCATTCATATTTATATCATATACCCTTTTAAATGTAAACAAACAGTTATAAACAATATTTTGGAATATGGACGTAGTTATTTTTCTTCAAACTTCTTTGTGCTGTATGGGGGCACTGTTAATCAGGTCTTTCATGATGTATGCTAGGTTCATCTCAGTTGGCAGTTGAACAAAGTAAGTTTTTGAGGGTGTTTACGGCAACCTTTCAGGAGGGCGTAGTCTATTATACCATATTGGTCTAGAAGGAATCCACAGGGTTTCATCCTCTGTGAAAACGAAAGAAGAACCTCTTTTCCAAAGTACCATATTCTTAGACCCAAATTTGGAAGTCATGATACCTTTATAATATACATGCTGGTTTAGCTTACAGCCCATATAATGAAATATGTTTCTGTACTTCACAGTCTAAAAATTCAAAAATAATATAATAACATACACAATCCAGACTTTCTGTGAATTTTTCATTTTTTTGTGGCTTATTTTTCTTTTTTTAATCTATAACTATCTGTACTCTGTCTCTTTAAAGACTTTACCCCATTTTTTAAAGCATTAACTTTATTTTATGACTTTCTATACTCTTTTTCTTTTCTCTCCCAAGCCTACGTACATTTATCTAACAGTGTGACCCATTTAGAGGTCTTTTATGTTTGAATCTGTCCCATTGTGAATCTGTAATTCTTTACTGTCCAAGAGCAGTTTTGCTTTGAAGTTTTAAATCGCTAAGCACTTAAGAATCTAAGCTAAGATTAGGTCAAAAACAGAGACTGTGGGCTTGGCCCACTCAGTCCAGCATGGCGGAGCTGCTCGTGCCTCTGAGCTGTACACACACACTGCTAGCATGGTAGAGCTGCTTGTGTCTGTGAGTCAGTTGTGCCTCTGAGCCATGTGTGCATAATGATCCCCTTTTAGGCACACAGTGAGTCCAGTTGCCATCAAATGAATCATAGCCCTTTACTCACAAACCCCATCCAAATGCTCTGTCTCAGGAAGGAGCCAGAGATTGTGCTGGCAGAAAGCTGGCATTTTAAAACTGCCATGGTTTTTTTACTGTTGTGGCTGCTGAGTGAGGAAATTCTCCCTGTGGCATCCCGCTAGTAAACAGAAAAACCTGTGTTAGACTCTCTCTCTATATTTTTTTCTTCTAGAATTCCTTTTTCAAGCTCTCTTAGGTTTTACATGGAGTTAGTTCACCATGTTGGAGCTCCAGTTATAACAGGAGGAGCAGGCTGCTTGTCGTGATTTAGTTGGTGACCCTGGCCCATCACTGGGGTCATACTAAATTTATTAATTTGCATATATTAAATCATCTTTATATCCCCAGGGATAAACATCGCTTGATTGTGGTGTCTTTTCATCAAGCTATTGAACTAAGTTTTTTAGTTCAATAAAACTAAATAAAACAGATGGAGGATTTTTCCATCTGTGTTAAGAAACATTGTACGATAATTTTCCTTTCTCACAATATCTATGTTTAATGGGAAGTATTCTTTCCTCTTTGATTTTTAATAAAAGTTTATAAAGAATGACCACTAAATCATTTCTCAATGCTTATTGGAATTTCCCTTTGAAGCCATCTTTTTGGGGGAGATTCTTAGTTATTGAATCAACCTTTTTTATTGGTTTTTCACTGTGCTTCAGGAATTAGTCTCAATGAAATATGTAGTCTGTAGAGAGGAGATGTACAGAGGGACCAGATCTACACAAACCATCAGATTCCACAAAGCATCAGCATCTGAAGGACAGACAGCCTGCTGTAGTAGTAGCCCAGTGATCTTAGATATAGATACCTAGAGTGGACAAGGACATAGGGTTCAGAAGAGAACATTCTCTGGGATCTAGGGTACACGGGTTATGACATCTGTTGTTCATGTGCGTGTAGAGTGAGTGCGTGTGAAACTGTAGTAGCCCTGGGGTCGGGGGTACCAGCTAACCTGCAGCAACACTCCTCCAATGCATGTATGAAGTATGGCCATCAGTATGGAAGCATGTGCAGAGTGGTCACAATTCCAGGACCAGGATACACACAGAGTTAGGAGCGAGTAATGGATTCTACCATGAAGTAGTACTGCAATGGCTCCTCCTTAGGCAAGGCATGGAGGACTCAGGAGCATCTTCCTCTTCTGGCATCTTCCACACATGTCTGCCATGTGCTGGCATTATTTCTGTTTCACAGGTAACCAGTAAATTGTATAAGATAAAATTTAATCATACCAACAGGCTGATTTTATGTCCCATTCTGATAAAATGAACAGTTACGAAGGCTCTCATGAAAGAAAGTATGTGATTGTGTCTAGATAGCCCTTACATGGGCTAATGCCGCAACACAATGCCGACATCACTCACTCTCCTGCATGTCATCAGACAGGCATTTGTACCACCTCATGTCATGATAAGGCAGTGGCTGCAGTGTGGTCTGTTTGCAAGAAAGACTGTATTCACATAACTCAGTTAGAGCATCTCCTTAGAGTTGTTCTGTTTCGATATTGGCCATTATTATCATTCTCTTCCCATGCCTAATTTATCTTAAACCTTACCACACATATAAAAATATACATAGCAACTATACGGGATACAGCAACTATAAGGTCCTTACAGTTACGATTTCAGGTACCCATTAGGAATCTTAGACCACAAAGAGGGTCCACTCTAAGATGTAAATTACAATACCAACTTTTTTTTTTTTGATTTTTTGAGACAGGGTTTCTCTGTAGTTTTTGGTGCCTGTCCTGGAACTAACTCTTGTAGACCAGGCTGGCCTCGAACTCACAGAGATCCGCCTGCCTCTGCCTCCCGAGTGCTGGGATTAAAGGCGTGCGCCACCACCGCCCGGCCCCAATACCAACTTTTTTATTTGAAGTTTTTAATGATTTTTTTCAGAAAATGTATTTGTATCATATTCTTTCCAATCCCCTATCTCCTTCAAGGTCCTCCTTACCTTCCAACCCACACAACCTCATGTATTTTTTCTTTTTTAAACACCCCACCCCCGAATAAAAACAAGCAGAACCCACTAAGATAAAAAATACAAAACTAAAAAGGTACACTGAAACCCATGGCATTTCTTGTGTGTTGCCCAACTACTCTTGGGCACGGTTGACATATTTACTTTCCATTGGAGATAATTGGCTTCCCCTTTCCCAGCAGACACCAACTGCAAACAGCTTCTTGGTTAGTAATGGGACACTGAGTCCCCTCTCCCTTCTCAGTGCTGGGATTTTGTCTGATTAGAAACGAACTCCTGTAATCTCTTGGTTGTGACTTAGCTGTAGATCTTAGAGGCTCCTGGTTTATGCTCTAGCCTTGTTTCCTGCTATGGCGCTCTCTCCACTTCTCTCTACGCCCACAGTGAACCCATTCTAACGGCAGAGGCTCAGGCATTGCTTGCATTTTGCTGCCTCCCTAGATAAAGAGTTTGGTGTTTTAATTATTTGTTATTATTTCTATGTGTGATGCTGAGGCCAAAATCCAGTTCCTTGTGCATACAAGACAAGTGCTCTACCACTGAGCTATAGACTTCCAGCTGTATTTATAAATTTTAATGAGAAATTAGATTTATAGTTCATCTTTCATTATGCTATCGATCTCCTTCCCCTTGATTTCATACTTTTTAAAACAGGAAGATAAGATGTATTACTTTATGAAGTTACTGAAAGAATCCAATGAAAATAATGGGAATTAGTACTTGGTAGTCATACCCATGGCCACTCCTCTTCCCTATAGACATTTAGCTCTGTAAATGGCCAGTCTGACTTTATTACTCTTTCTAAAATCCTACAGTCATAGACCCTCAACAGAGTTGAGCTCAATTGAACTGAAACATTACATATTTAAGGCCCCCACAATTAATTACCGAACATGGATTATTAAATGTCTACATAATATAGGGTGACAGAGGACAATAGAATCCTCTACACCTTCTAAGTAGTCTACACATATTGTGGATGAAAATTCCACTTCCATAGTGAACATCCTGTTTTCAAAAATAAATAAGGTTAAGGGAAACATCATTATTGTGATAACTTTTATTAATATTACATATCTTATATTGTTAATGAGCACATTTGTAAGAGATCTAAAGATATACAAAGATCTGTATGATATTTAAAGTGCCAATAGCTACATGATAGATAGTTCTATACCTTTACAATTGAAGGGCCATGTGAGATTTAGCATCTGAAAATCCCAGAAGAAGCTTGTCAATATTTTCCTTGTCATGGATTTCATAGTCTTAAAACAGTAAACTACTTTATGCAGTAACTCTTAGGGTTGCATGGAAAAGATATCAAAAATAAGCCTGAGAAATAAAATAAAACATAAACCTTGAATAGAGGAGTCTGAAGGAAATTTGAGAAAAAGAAGAGATCATTGTCTCTGTTTGGTCTTGTCTTCTCTGTGGCATATTGGGTCACACTTGCCTTTTCTACCTTCACAGGTATTTACCAGATAAAGGGAAACTGGAGACCATGGACTGAAGGCTAACTATGTCCTCTTGTCCTTAGAGATCATCAACTATAATATATATATTACATATATTATACATCTAAAAAATATTTGTTTTACAAATGAAACAACTGAACCATCCAGACAGTATAATATAAACCCAGTGGCTTTAGAATAACCCAGTGATGATCAGCCTGGCAGTTTGTGTGTGGCTTTGACAGTTACTTGCAAATGCATACTTCTCCAGGAAAACGGGTACTCATTCCATCTTCAACGGTGTCCTGATGTCTGAGGGAGTCCCTAGACTATGGCAGGAAATTCTTTGCCTTGTGCTGTGAGTGATAGCTCCCAGGCTTTGTCAGTCACAGAAGTTGCAGTGATTTAAACAATACCCCAGTGCCCTCTTGGGGTTAATGAGCTTCCCAAGGCACTAACCTGCCATGAGGGAGTAGTTCAGAATGCGGGGAGATTAGATTCTTCTTTATCATGGCACTGCTTTTTTATTTGTTAACCTAATGCCCTTGACATTTCCCACAATTATATCTCTTTCCTACTTTTTATGTCCCACATCTTTAAAAAAGTAGTGTGTGCTCACCTCCCCCCTTAACCTCATCTCCCATTGCTTAATCAGCTTTTGGCTGCTTTCCAGAAGCCAAATGCTGGGATTGGGGCCTTTTCTTCTAGATTAATTCAAAGGTTTTTCTTATTTGTCTCCTCTTGATTCCTTTGTTTTACGAGGGTTTATTATTGCCTTTGTGAAACTCTCATCTTTTGGTTGGCAATTTAGAATAAGAGAGGCTACTACTGAAGATGTGTAAATCATTAAGTACAGGGGGCAGAGACAAGAGGCTCCCTGGAGTGCACTGGCCAGTTAGTGTGCCATTAGCCATGATTTTAAGGTTCAAAAGGAAACCACACCTCAAAAATTAAGGCGGATCAAGCTGGAGGGATGGCTCAGCAGTTATAAAAGCATATTGCCATTGCATCCAACCCAAGTCCGGCCCCTAGAACCCACATCAGGCAGGTCACAGCCATCTGTAACTCCAGCTCCAGGGGATCTGATACCTTCCTCTGGCCTTTGTAGGCACCTGGATTCATGTATACATACCCACATATAGACACGCATACCAGCAATTAAAAATAAAATAAAATAATTTTTAAAGGCAGAGGGTGATTGAAGAAGTTACCCAACATCAAATTTTGGACTCCACGTGCATTCACACCCATATCTGTGCACCCCAACACACACATATGAACACATACACAAATATAACACACACACACACATGCACAGAAGCGATAAACGCCTATTGTGTTCAGTAAATTGAGCTTATTCCTAACCTACCATGAAAATATCCAATAAGTTTCTATGTTCCATGCTTTAAAGATGTAGCAAACATTATTTCTAGCTAAGGATATATTTGTAAAACTATGGTGCTACATTAATTATTATGTATGCTCTTCATACATAATTAAACAAAAGTTTAATTATTTCCTCCTCCCCTTCTCCCCCTCCCCTTTTGTCCTGCTCCACACTCTGAACACAGAGCCTTGCACACACTCAGGGCTCACCTTCTGAGCTATATCCTCAGCTGCAAAACCTCTGTGCTTCTTGTCAGCACCTAATTTTACCCATGGCTCCACCCATCTCACGCTCCATAGCTTAATCTTCCAGACAGACCTTCACCTGGTGACTGGTCTGTTCAGAAAGGCCTGAGTCAGTTTTCACATGTGTCCCCGAGCACATTCAGCGTCCCTAAGTGAGCAGACCACTATTCTTCCCTGACTTCACTCTAATAAATTAAGCATGGTGAATCCAAGGTGGAGTGCTGTTACAGAAGGGTGGAAGGGTAGAAGAAAGGGTGAAGGGTGGGATCAGTAAATCCTAAATCATCTGCTCTGTTTCCTTTGTTTGTTCTTATTTGGTTTGGCAACAAAACTCTGAGGAATACAGGAGATGGAGAAAATCAGCCTGCCCCAAGGACAGTGTGTTCAAGAATGCCCTTTCTCTTGAGAATTATTCCAGATTCTCGAATATTGAGCCTTTACTGAAGAGTTACAGTGCTTCCAATAGCATGGAGCGCCACTGGCTTCTCTGTGCAGAGACTGGCTTTGTCTCAGTTCATCTATCAGTCTGTGCACTTCCTAGCTGTGCCTCCTTCAAAAGCCAGGCTTGGGTGTTGGTGTCGGGGAGCAGCGATCCCTGTGGAAGCCTGGAAGAACATTCACAGACTGTACTTCTGCACCATCTCTAAGTCTTCTTGCTTCTTAAGTGTATTGCTTCTTTAGAGATTCATCCATTTAACAGAGATTGGTGAATTGCTCTTCCTATAGGTCTCTGGCTGTCGGATTACTGCAGAGAAGGCAACGGTCTCCACGACAGACGCAGATGGTGCTCTCTACTGTGGGAAACAGCAATTACCAAGAAGCTGGAGAAGCCTGGTGATAAGGGAAGTGCCCAGTTCTGTGGAAGTGTGCGGTATTTACAGATCAGCAGAGTCCCACTGCTGGAGGAGACTGCCAGCAAGTCACATAGGCACAGTCGTGGCTGCAGTCATCACTGCTTCGAGGATCTCTTAGAACAGGAGAATGTTTATTCAGTATTTCATAGTTGACATGCAGTAAATCCCCTGTAAGTGTCACTCACAATAATAGCACAAGTAGTCTTGTGTTATGAATGGTTTTATTGTTTTAAGTTTCACTTCTTAAAATTCTCTTTGCCTTAGCTACGTGTTTCACTTCTGACTCAAAACTTGTGAGCCAGGCGAGTCACACAGACAAGCACCGAACAGATCCTCCCAGAAGACGCAGCGGATCAGCAGTGCATCACTAACCATCGCAGCATGTGTGCAAATGCATCTAAAGAGAGAACACCATGATCCTTGACCACAGCCCAAAGCAACACGGGGCAGCTACGAAGCTGGAACCAACTCGTCCCTGTGTCATGGAAATGCCATGCTTCCCCCTAGGGTCCCAGATCCTAAAATAAGCAGAGAACAAAAATTAATCTTAAAATTTAGAATATATGTTTCTGGTGAAACAATATCTTGCCTTGCTTTATAAAAGTAGATGCAGAATACTCTTTGTGACTTTGCAGTGGGCCACATTAGTAGTTCAAATGTAGTTGCATTTCCAGAGAATGCAAGTCATGCTTTAAGCACTGGAAATACTCTACAGTGCTTCAGCCTAACAGCGTAAGACTATATGGTGGCATGTCTTCTGTCAAAGAAGGAAAGCAGGCACATGAATAAACTTACCTGATGTACTTGATTCACGCTAGACAATACCACAATGTTCTCTGGACTCTGTCTTAGCTGGAGATCTGGGGCCAGGTATTAATACTCCCAGTTTCTTTGTGACTGAAACGGGGCAGGTAAAGCTGTCTTAAGTGATGAAAGGAAATGCATCACATGATGAGAATCTAATGATGTCAGGGGTAGATGGTAGCAAGGGCTCTCAGTGTGAGTAAAGAAAGATGTGGGCCGGAGAGACGACTGTCTTCTGCTTGTATCTCGAACCTTACCTTGCCAGGTGGACGGTGTCCTGCTCCAACTCCAAAGTCAAATAAACCCTTCCTTGCTTTAGCTGCCTTGTCAGGTGCTTTGTTACAGCATCAAGAAAGGGATAGGGTGGTGGTGGCACACACCTTTAATCTCTGTGTTTGAGAGGCAGAGGCAGGCAGATCTCTGAGTTCGAGGCCAGCCTGGTCTATAAGAGCTAGTTCCAGGACAGCTAGGACTGTTACACAGAAAAACCCTGTCTCAAAAAAAACCCTAAATAAATAAATAAAAATAATAAACGAAACAGAATTGGAAATTTATAGTCAGTTGTGGGAGGGAGAAAGTTTATTTGCTCCAGCATCAGTATGCATTCTTCAGATATCCAACTGGGCTCTGCTAGTCAGTTTCCTACAGGGGACACCATCCTTGCCAGTTCCTATAATGCTGACAGGGGAAATGCTGCCCCTTGGTTGAGCAGCTGGTCCAGAAAAACACTCTCCAGCTGTCTGGGTCGCACCCTCCATCATCTTAAATAGAAGTGTCTGTCTGTCGGCAGCTACATTAGTTTCTGGCTGGTGTGCGGTGTGGGAAATTTCTTCCTTAAAGTACATGTTTTTTTTTTTTAATGTATAATTTCCTATGCTCCCTTTGTACCATGAATTCAGAACCCAAACTTTGCATTTTAATACATACTTTATCTGTAAGGGAGGTTGATCCCTCGGAGTCAGTACAGGACACAGCCAGATGCCAAATCCTCTACACAAAAGAGATTTATTGCCCTAGAGAGGCAAGGGCAGGGGCTGCAAAGGCAGACAGCAGCAGGAGCAGCCAACAACAGCGAGCAGCAAGCAGAAGGCAGCAAGCAGAAGAGGGTTTTTAAATAGGAAAAGAAGGGAGTCTGTGCCAGGGTGAACCGGTGACCTCTGACTGGACAAAGTAACCAAGAAAGGAATTTTGATTTTGGACCTTGGTCTTTTGTCTTAGGAATGAGTCAGTGGCCAAGTGAGACCTTGGGGGCCAGTTTTAGGAATCTTACAGCAAGAGGGAAAGGGGTGAATGGCAAAACCTATTGGCACCCTGTTTGCCATGCTCGACCTTGCTAGAGCCTTTCATTATCAATTGTTATTCTAATTCCAGATTCATCACAATGCTGTTACAGGTGGTAGACGTCTACCTGACTTGTATCATTTTCTAGCTGCCTCTGTGCTAGAGTATAAGAATTTCTAACTATCAGAGACACCAAGCTTATTTCCACCAAAGTGATAGACAACCCATAGGTGACTATATCCTAGAGAAGAGTAAAGACAAGGAGCCAGACCCTTCCCAGACCAAGTGGTCTAGTCTACTGCAGTCCCTGGTTCCGCACACTGGGATCAAGTTCATTCAGGTCATGGGCTGACTGTAGGCTGTGTTCCTCTGTGGTGCTGCCATCACCGCTTTCCGTAATCGGACAAATGAGTCTGTCTAACTGAAGACTCAGTGTAGCTCCTAAGTGGAATCAGAGCTCTGAGAATGATTTTCAAGCTCCAGAATTTAAAAAGAAATTGTTTAGAGAACTCCAGTCTCATACATAGTAAGCTACATCTATTTTCAGAGCCATCTCTAGGTAGCTCTCCGTGGTCCAACACTCAAGTGTAACCTTGGAATGCAGTTGCCTTTCATCAACGTGATGTTGACTTACAGCTTACAGTGTTCTAAGTATGGCTTAAAGGCTTAAAATGTTCCTTGAAATAGTTTTACTTTATATTATTTTTAGTTTGGGAGGTTTGTTTTCTCAATATATTTTTGAAAATGATTCAAGGGGTGAACCCTATACCAGAAATGCTGAATAGTCTCCATCCAACCCCAGCATCTCTTTGCTTTCTCTTGACATAGCCTTTTTTATATTACTAATTTGGCATCTCCCTTCCTGTGGTATGAAAGAAAACATGGGCACATTTCTACTCTGGGGTTATGACATGTAGAGTCCATGGGCTGGCGCGATGTGTCAGTGGGTAAGAACCCTGGCTGCTGGTGCAGAGGACCCAGGTTCAGTTCCCAGCATGCGCATGGCAGCTCACAACCCACTGTAGCTCAAATTCCAGGGGATCTGATACCCTTTTCTGGCATCTGTGGGCATCAGCCACATGTGTGGTACACATACATACATGTAGGCAAAAAATAAAAATAAAAACACATACATCTTTTTTAAAATGACGTATTGAGCACAATGCATTGAGTGAAACAGTATTTGACGAATGTCGGTGAATGGTTTCCATCAATGAGTTATTAGTGCAGAGCGAAGAGGGACTTTTGGCTCGGTACCCTTAGGAAAGTCTTCGCAGAGAGGTAGATATTTAAATTAATTTTGAAGTCTGTAAAAATTACTGGAGTTGTAGGGGATTTTAGTTTATCCCTTCTTGTGTTCATAGTGTATTGAGAATCATGGCAGCCGGTGCAGACAACTAGATAATCACCAGTTACTTGCCTGCTGAGTTCGCTGGAGATGAAACGTTTTCCTCTAGAGCAAACCTGCCTGGGAACACCAGGTTCCAACTTTCCCCATCAGGATATCCCAAAGAGCCAAGGCCTGCACTTTCAGAGCACACTGCCCTGGAAATGAAGTCTCTACTAAGCCCACAGTGCAGAAGTTAGAAAAGAAGGTCGGGCTCTCTATTGACCCAGTGGAAAGCACAGACTGACAGACATCACACGTTGTCAGAGGACTTGTTTTCCCTTTAAGAGGAGGAGGTGGAGCCAGGAATGTGACTCCAGTGATTGTTCTTCTTCAAGGAAATATAAAAGGAGCAGAAAAGAAGTTCCATTGTCCTTAAACATATAAAAACGTAGGATGTTTGCAGAACCCATATCTTAAAACACGTTTTCTCTTCTCTGATAAAAGAGAAATGTAAAACATCATTGTAATCTGTCTGGCAATAGTATGACCCAACGGAAAAACTGAATCAGACAAGATATGGTGAAACGAGGGACACACAGATCCAAATCTGCTGAGTAGAGAGAGGGGGAAGGAAGAGGAGGAGGAGGACACACAGGGGCAAGGGCTGGACAGGATAAGTGTTAGCTGGGTCTGAAGAGGGAGAGCATATTCCAGAACAAACCGTTTCCTCCTTTCCCAGGACTCATGTGTTTGTCGTGTGTTATTTTCTCATTTCTTCAATCAGAAGTTCTTAGGATGGACGTAGGATGCCCACAGACCCCAAGCATTCCTTGTAAACCAACCTGTATACACGGGTTGTCTTTGAAAAATGAGGTAGTTTCAGGAAATTTTAATAAGGTGGGAGCACAAGAAGGGGAGGATCCATTGAAAGTCACCTCCTCTGTGTCATAGACCCTGGAACACGAGGAGATGGGTCTATGCAGGCACCAGCCCAGCCTCTCCGTGTCGAATGAGTTGTGTGGGTGTTGTCCTCTGCCATGCGGCTGACAGCTGTGTGGGTGTTGTCTTCTGCAGTGCACCTGACAGTTGTGTGAGTGTTGTCTTCTGCAGTGCGGCTGACAATTGTGTGAGTGTTGTCTTCTGCAGTGCGGCTGACAATTGTGTGAGTGTTGCCCTCTGCAATGCAGCCTTGCTGACACTTTGTGGAGAGCAACCTGTTGTCTTGGCAACAGCCGTGTTGTTTTGGACCAACAACCCAGTCTTAGTACTGGAAGTGTCATTTGGTCACAAGGGATAGCAAGTAGGGGTTCTGCCTGTTATTATTTAGAGACCTCATTAGGAAAGATCATCTATGTAGACTGTAGGAAGTTTCCACTGCACTAGGCTTCCATACCACCCCTCAAATGCTTATCAGTTCTAACAGACTCGGCCCTCATTCCCTACCTCAATTCCGAGCTCTCCTCTCCCATCCCACCAGATTCTCCTGTTCTCATGCCCTTCCCCCAGCTCCAGTCTACCCATAAAATGTAGAGAAAAGTAGACACCAACCCAACCACAACAGCTTTAATCTATAATCTGTCCCATCTGCAAAATCGTTAGGGCAATGGCAGCACAAACTTTGTGGGAGTAACCAAGCCTGATTTAACTTAAAGCCAATTCCAAGAAATGGAACCCATACCCGACACTGCTTGGTGACCAAGAACCAGAGACCAGATAGGTCAGAGACCTAGGATAGAACCAAGTACTACTCTCTAAAAAAGGAAAAGTAACGATAAAATGTCTTCTCAGAATAGTCTTCTGTACTCATAGATTGGTTCCTTATTCAGCCATCATTAGGGAGGCTTTCTGCTGCCGCAGATAGGAACAAATACAGAGACTCACAGCAAGACAGGCTGGGGAGTCAGTTCATCCCTGGGCACCACAGGATGCGAGTACAGAGCTGAGTCCCAAGGTTTCCCTCCGACACGCACACAGACGCTGCTCTCTGATCATGCCACCCCACTCCCAAAAGGTAATAAAATGTAAAACAACATATAATAACTAGAACCGTGAAACTCTTAGAAGAAAATAGGACAAAATGCTTGAATCTCAGATTTGACATAATTTAGATGTGACCCTATTAGCACAAGAAACAGACAAGGCAAATGGGGTTTTATTAAAACTAAAATGTACATGTGAATTAAATACATAAACATTCATTTATACAAATGTTTAATACCAAAATATATGCATGTATTATGCCATGATTGTATATAACATACATATTATATACACACATAATTCAGCAATAAAATAACCCAACTTAGCAATGGGCAAAGGATTTGAGTAAACATTTCTCCAGAGAAGACATAAAAACTACAAATATCAAGATGGATAAATCCTCAGTTATTAGGGAAACAAAAATCAAGATTGTAGTAAAATATCACTGCACACCCGTTAAATGGCTATAATAGGCAGGCAGTGGTGGCCTACACCTTTAATCCCAGCAACTTGGAAGCAGAAGCCGGCAGATCACTGAGTTCAAGGATAACCTGGACTATAGACTGAACTCCAGGCTTGCTAGGGCTACACAGAGAAACCCTGTCTCAAAAAAACACATGTTGATAACAAGAACAACAATGAGGTTTGGTAAGAATCCAGATAAATTGTAACCCCCTCTGACGCTGGTAGGCACGTTCTCAGTGCTACAGCTACTGAGAAAACAGCC